TTATCCTTCTTTTATTCTTTAAAATTAAAAAAAAGAAAAAAGAAAAAAAGAAAAAAAGAAAAAAGAAAAAACTTGAACTCCCAGGAGAAAATTTTCCTCATTTTTTCTTAGTACGTGTTTGCCATACATAGTGATCACATTCATCATGGGGACTTTGTACCTGTACATACTATATCCCAATTCTTGTTACTTTCCCATTTCTTTCCCTTCACCCCTTCTTCCCCACTAACAAATGCTGTTTCCAGTTTTTTCCTTCCCGCATTCCTGTCCCGACCCCACGCCACCCTTGCTCCCGTTCCTCTCTGAGTAAGTTCTCCCTGCTTCCCAACATCTGTCCTCCATTGTGCTGGTTATTTACACTTTTGGTTTCTCATACAAGAGAAACAGTGTGATACTTAAACTTGTGTATATGACTTATTCCATTTAAGATTATGGTCTGGGCGGGCGTGGTGGCGCACGCCTGTAATCCCAGCACTCAGGAGGCTGAGGCAGGAGGATAGTTGCAAAGTTCAAGACCAGCCTGGGCTACAAAGTGAGCTCAAGGCCAGCCTGAACTGCATAGTTAGACCCTGTCTCAAAAAAGACAAAAATAAAAAATAACGGTTATGGTCTGGAGATGTATATCTAAAAATATCTCCAGTGTATCCTTTATGCCACAGTAGTACTCCATTGTGTATAAATACATTTTCTTTATTCATTCACCCATTGATGGGCATATGGCCTATTTCCAAAACTTAGCTATTTTAAATTGTGTTGCTGTAAACACGGGTATGCATACCTCCCTGTGGAATATATCGGGAAGATGCCTACAAGGGGAATAGCTGGGTCCAACAGAACCTCTAGTTTTAGGCTTTTGAGGAATCTCCACACTGATTTCCACAGTCCTTGCACCAGTCTACACTCCCACCAACAGTGCAGAAGGACTCCTTTTCCCCACAGCCCCACCAGCATTTGTTATTGGGCTTTTGGGGTTTTTTGTTTTGTCATTGGTTGATCTCTTGATAACAGCCATTCTTTCTGAAGTGAGGAAATCTCAATATTATTTAAATTTGCTTTTTTGGATGGCCAATGATGTGCTTTTCTTTTTGTATATTTGCTGTTTGTACTTCATC